AAAAGGAAGAGAGATCAGGCCTCTGTACGGGTGTCGCGCACTGATAGAAAGAAGTAAGACATAAGAGATCCTTTTGGTTCCTGTATTTGAGATGGCTGTTAATCTGTGGACCTATCCCCAACCTTGTCCTTGCAAGAGACATGGTTGCCGGTGACTCAAGGTTAATGGATGTTGGGCGTGCAGGGATATGTCTTTGTAAACAAATGCCTGAGCAAGTAGCTTGCTGGGTTAAAAGTATATCACCATCGTCCTTAATCTCAGCTACCAGGGACACGTACACGGCCAAGAAGGTCGCAGGGGACCTGCCTAGAAAGCGCCAGGTATTGTCCAGGTTTTTCCCCATGTGAAGGGATGAACAATTTGCCTAAAAGGTTTAATCTCAAGGCCACGCAGGATTTTCCTTTTGAACTTACGCTATCACAGAGGTTTTTGTTCTGTATGTCTTACTGCTAATTTCCTCCCTAAAAAATGATCCTATTGTCCTGCCATCCCCTGGTCTTTAGATGAGTAAAGATAATTATCAATAAATACTAGGGAACTCAGGACCGGGGCCCCGGCCGTGGCCTCCTCGGTAAGCTGAGCGCCGGTCCCCTGGGCCCGCTTTTCTTTCTCATATACTTTGTCCCTCTGTGTGCTATTTCTGTTCCCAAGTCTCTCTGTCCACCTTCGGAGAACACCCACAGGGTGTGGAGGGGCACGGGGCCCACCCCTTCACGTTGGTGAGGCTGAGGCAGGGGAATCACTTGAACCCAGGGGTGGAGATTACAGTGAGACCAGAGTCGTGCCACTGTGCTCCAGCCTCTGGCAAAGAACAAGATCCATCTCAAAAGATAAGACTAAAAAAACAAAAAGAATAAATTTGTTACAATGTAATTACCTAAGAATTAGTTTATTGCTGCCAGGACAGTGGCTCACGCCGTGCAATTCCGCAGCACTTGGGAGGCCGGGGAGGTGGGTGGATTCACCTGACGTCCAAGAGTTCGAGACCCGCCTGGCGCAACATGGCGAAGACCCCGTGCTCTACTAAAATACAAAATCTAGCTGGGCTGTCGGTGGCAGGTGCCTCTAATCCCACCTAACTCCAGAGAGGCTGAGGCGAATAATCGCTTTGGAAACCCAGAAACGGAGGTTGCAGTGACCCGAGGATCCATGCCCCACCTGGCACTCCAGCCTGGGTGACACAAGAGTAAGACTGTCTCCAAAAAAAAAAAAAAAAAAAGAAAGAAAAAAATAACTTATTGCTAAACAGTGCTAACAAAATGAGCACATACTGTTGGGAAAATGGCACAGATACACTTGCTCAGTTCAGGGCTGCCATAAACTTCTAACTTGTTTAAAAAAAAAAAAACACACACACACACACACAACCAAAAAAACCATAGTATCTGTGGAACATAATAAAGTGAACTACAATAAAATGAGGGTATGCCTGTATAACACATCATGTCATTGTCAAACAAGGACAATTTCACTTCTTCCTTTCCAACCTGGGAACCTTTTATTTCTCCCTCTTGCCTAATTGCTCTGGCTAGACTATTACAGCTACTTCTATTATGATGAATAGAAGTAGTGAAAGGGGGCATCCTTATCCGGTTTCAGATTGTAGAGGAAAAGCTTTCAATTTTTCCCCGTTCAGTGCAATGTTAGCTGTGAGTTTATTATATGGCCTCTATTGTATTGAGGTACACTCCTTTTATACCTAATTTGTTGAAAGGTTTTATCATGAAGAGATACTGAATTTTGTCAAATGATTTTTCTGCATCTACTGAAATGATCGCCAAGTGCAGTTGCTCATGCCTGTAAATCCCAGAACTCTGGGAGGCTGAGGCGGGCAGATCACCTGAGCTGAGTTCAAGACCAGCTTGGGCAACATGGCGAAACCCTGTCTCTACCAAAAATACAAAAAATTAGCTGGGCATGGTGGCATGCACCTGTGGTCCCAGCTACTTGGGAGGCTGAGATGGGAAGATTGGTTGAGCCTAGGAGGCAGAAGTTGCAGCCAAGATCACACCACTGCACTCCAACCTGGGTGACAGAGTGAGACTCTATCTCCAGGAAAAAAAAGAAAAGAAAGAAAAGAAAAATAATGGTTTTTGTCCTTCATTCTGTTGATGGGATAATGGGATGTATCGTGTTTATTAATTCGTGTATATTAAACCATCCTTGCATCCCTGGGATGAATACCACTTGTTCATGACAGATGATTTTGTTATTGTGCTATTGAATTCAGTTTGCTAGTATTTTGTTGGGGACCTTTGCATCTATGTTCATCAGGAGTACTGGCTGTAGTTTTTTCTTATTGTGTCCTTTTCTGGTTGTGATATCAGAGTAATGCTGGCTTCATAAAATGAGTTTCAACGTATTTCATCTTCGATTTTTTGGAGTAGTTTAAGACGTGGCATTAGTTCTTCTTTAAATGTTTGGGGGCCAGGCATAGTAACTGTAATTCCAACCTGTAATTCCAACCCTTGGGGAGGCAGAGCTGGGAGGATCGCTTAAGCCCAAGAGTTTGAGACTAACCTGAGCAACAAAGTGAGACTCCACCTCTACAAAAAATAAAATGAAAAATAAATGTTTAGTAGAATTAAACAGTGAAGCCAGCCATCAGGACCTGGGCTTTTCTTTGATGGGAGACTTTTTGAGACAGGGTCTCACTCTGTCACCCAGGCTGACATGCAGTGGCACATTCATAGCTCACTTAAGCCTCGACCTCCTGGGCACAAGTAATCCTACCTCGGCCTCTCAAATATTTGGGACTACAGGCACATACTACTATACCCAGCTTTTAAAAAAATTTTTGGTAGAGATAAGGTCTCACTGTATTGCCAAGACTGGTCTCAAGCCCCTGGACTCAAATGATCCTCCCCCATCAGCTCCCAAAGTGCTTGGGATTACAGGCATTATCCACCAGGCATGGCCTGATGGGAGGCTTTTTATTACTGTTTCAATTCCTTCCTCATTATTGGTCTGTTCAGGTTTTCTATTTCTTCACAATTTAATCTTGGTAGGTAGTAGATTCTATGTGTCCAGGAATTTACTCATTTTTTCTATGTTATCCAATTTACTGATGTATAATTGTTCATAATTGTCTTTTATGTTCCTTTGTATTTATGTGGTATCAGTTGTAATGTCTCCTTTTTCATCTGATTTTGAGTTTCTTTTGTTCTTAAAGGTTTGTTGACTATCTTTTAAAGAAACCAACCCTTCATTTCGTTGATCTTTTGTATTGTTTTTCTAGTTTCTATTTATTTTCGCTATAGTCTTTATTATTTCTTTTCTCCTACTAATTTTGGGTTTACTTTGTTCCTGTCTTCTAGTTCCTTGAGGTGCAATTGCATTACATTTCTACTGACCAGTACTGTGCCAGATAGATGACCAGCCAATACTTGAGTGGTTATCACATGGCAGAAGCTGTTTAACCACCTAAACGTACTTTAGACCTAGCATGCGCACACTTCCTATGAGAAAGGTAACAATGTCCCCACTTTACAGAAAGCGAAGCAGACACACTAGAGATTAATTTGTCTGGAACTACAGAGCTAGTAGGTGGGATCTGAAGTCTGTGGCAATCTGTATCCAAAAAGCAGACCTTTACCTCTATTATTTTGATAGAGACAGGGGACAGCCAAATGCCTAGGCAAATAGGGAAGGGTCCCTGAAGAACCTCCAACCTGCCTAAGTCATTGTGCACAAGGGGTTTGGCTAAACATGCCCACATTGAAAAATTCCATCCCTTAACACATGTGCAGTAAGGGAAATAAATCAATGTGGAGTGGCTCAGACTAAGGGCCCACATGCACACTGGAAGAATGAGGAGGAGCCACCAGGAATTCACACCTTATGCAGGGGAGGAGCCTGGCCTTTTCAACTTGTGTGTGGTAGCCTGGTATTCCATTTGTGAGGTGGAAACCTGTGTTTTGGATCCCTCTTTTTTGTTAAGAGCTTTCCTTTTGCTTAATTAATTCCATTCTCCTCACTCTTCAATGTGTTTGCATGCCTAATTTTTCCTGGTCGTGAGACAAGGACCCAGATTTAGCTGAACTAAGGAGGAAGAAATCCTGCATCAATTTTAATAAATTGCATAACTGATGAAGGCAGGAAGAGACTCACACTTAACCTGAAAGAAATCCCAGAAAGTTTAAATAAGCACCCTTTACTCATGTTTAAATCAAAGTACTAAAAACTAGAACTGCTCAATAGCATATGAAGATTTCTTTTCAACACCAATTTGATGTAAACACTGAGCACCTACCAACATGCGAACTCTGAATTAGTCACAGGGGCTACAAAGACTGATAACAACATGCTCCCTTCTTTGATAAAGTCATAAGGCAGTGGGTGGGTTTGTCTGGTAGGGGCAGGGGTTTGGGCAAGAGAGAGAAACGAGACAAATGTGATAAGACAGACATGTGATAAGAAAAAGGCAACAGTGTTCTCTGTATTTCTCCTCTAGTTTTCTTTCCCATTACTTAAAGTAAAATAAGAAAACATTTTTTCCCTTCCTCAAATAAGACACATTCAGAGTGTTTGTCCCCAGGCAGACAAACTTTGTTCTTTCCAAAACAAATTGAGAAGTACAGGAAGCACCACACAGACTGACACTACAGTGCCATCCTATCGGGTACCCCAGGATCCAATAATCCTGAGGCCACAGCAATTACCTCATGCTCTCCACACTTGAAAAACAGAATTAAAGCATAATTTTCCTCAAAGTCTAAACTTATAGAGGAAATGGAGCTTAAGAAAAATGTATTGGCTTGTTATTGTTTGGGAATGTCCCCTTTTCTCAGTCCTTCAGAAAGACCCAAAGAGGTGGCTCAGCTAAAGTTGTTCCCATAGAACCAGTTTCTAAAAACAAGAGAAATTACTGAAGCATATGGCTTAGGCAACCTACATTGGAATTTTCCAATAGAACCTCCCAGTTTCTAGCAAGCTGAGTGAATGAGAAACCAGGAAATGGGGTTTTGTTTCCAACCACTTCAGTACAAGGTTTATGTTACCTTCTAGTGGGTCTTCATCTTGGTTTTCAGCTAGAGGTGTGGTTTCCTGCAACAAAAAATTATCTCATGAGAAAATAATTTCACTTAAAGGTTTAATATCAATACATACTTGATTGGGAAAAACTCTAGCTCTCAAAAAAACTACCTAAAATAAAAATAATATTGAAAATTAATCTCTTTAAATCAACTTTTGAATTTGATTCAAAGAATCTTTAGGTGACAGTACAATTATGAAAGAAGTAAACTGAGTCACAGAAGAAATGTCACAAAGAGGAGCCAGCCTAACAAGGGCCTCTGGCCCCTGGATTTTCTGGGACCTAACTAGCATCCTAGAGCCTGAGCTAGGAACCAGACAGCAGGGACCCTGGAATCCAGGCTCCTTATTTCCTGTACTACATGCCTGTACCTCGAGTTCTGCTCCTCCTTCCAGAAGACAATCTGTAAAGTCTCCATGAACACGTTTTCCTCATGGCCTTCTAATCACGTCCTCAAACCCATGGCTCAGCTAAGAACCAGGACATTAGGTGCTCAAGAAAATGCAGAGGCTACAGCAAAGCAAACCAATCATATTCTTACATAATGAGAGAAGTAAACTGCAGAGGCACTCCCAAAGTAAACCTTGGTTGGTTAACCCAGAGCCTGTTGGCTCTACTGGGGCAGCATACGTTTTTATGATTCCTTTATGTAGACCTGTTGGGAACCTGTATTTTTAAGGATGGCCAGCTATTCCAAGGAATCATTCTATCAAGAAAGGGCTGATCTAGCTCCTGGCACCTAATTAAGCTTCTGTTGCTAATAAGAATGACAAGATACTAAGAGCCAAAGACTTTTCAGTCTATCTGAAAGTATGCCTCCTCTTCACTCTGAAATATATTGAGATTTGGAAAATAGGTTATATAGTTACCATAAATTTCAAAAGACAATCTGTGTCTTTTTTCTACTTAGATATGACTAAGACACCAGGCATGGTGGCATGCAGCCGATAGTCTCAGCTACTTGGAAGGCTGAAGCAGGAGGACCACTTGAACCCAGGAGATCAAGACTGCAGTGAGTTATGATGGCACCACTGTACTCTAGCCTGGGCAAAAGAGCAAGACATCATTTCTAAAAACTAGTTATATAAGAAGGAAAGAAAGAAATGGCTAAAACACCCAGAATCCACACTTCCATAAGTCCTCTCCTATAATACAAGACTAAGTAAGCTCACACTTCCTCCTTTCAATGTGTGTTCCGGTAAATGTGGATGCTAAATAACCAGGATGAGGGAAGCAGGAACTATCTGGAGACAGAGCATTCTCTCTGGTCTGAGGGCCACCTGCGCTGTGTATGCAGCTGGCTGCCTTTAAACAAAAGCACATTTATAAAAGGCTTTCCTCAGCTAGAGATAGTCTGGGAAAGCATGCTGATGGACCACAAAGACCTGAGAATCATTTTGGAGACACCCACCTCCACAATGTCAAAACGTAAAGGAGAGGACTGGAGATCTCCCCTTTAACCTGGGGAGATAAAGGTTATGGACAGAGGCACAGCACATTGGGGGAAGCAGGGAATAACTAGGACATCTTGGAGAGGACACGCTTTATTAGAGAAGACCAAAATGCGGACGTGTGAGTAAAAGAGCGCCACCACGGAGCCTTACCATCTTTAATTTTGCTCAGCAGCTTCCCAACAGGGAACACCCAGCAGGATGGCAGGCAGATGGCACAGTGGGGTCACCACAACCACAAAAGATAATATATTTCTATAATTCTTATACGAAAAAAAATGCATGTTATAGTAATAATTTGGCTAGAGGATGAGATAAAAATCCCAGAATATGCCAACAAAAAATGGACAGAGGAATGGAGAGAAAGGGTAGCCAGGTGAGAAAAAAAGGATGTTCATTTCTTAATTTTCTCAAGAGTGATGAAAAATCAAGAAATACTTTCGTTTCTGAAGTTGATAATATACTCATTCTTATACTTCTCTATTTAATGATATAACGGTAACCACCAAAAGACACTGTCTCCCAAAAAAGAGCAAAAAGCAAAGAGGCGAAAGAAAAAAAAAAAAAAAAAAAGAGTGCCAAAACCTCAGGCAATGTAGTGAAAGATTTTTGTTTTTTAAGTGCTGCAATATCAAACATTTGTTAAAAGGGAAAAACCCAAATTGGGTCAAAAAGGGGAAAAAATGACAAGAAATCTAACAAGATATTTTATACAAGAGGCACAACTAAAACAGACTTGAGAAAAATTGAAAACGCAAGTTTGGGCAGTAAAATATCATAATATAAAGCAAATGTAAGTTTTAAAAGCCAAGGGACTAGATATAAAATTCAACTTCGGTTTTAAGGCAAAGATCACACAAACGGTGTCACTCCGAATATTAGGAGACAAGCCTATATTCCCCCCAGGGTGGGGGAAGTCCGTAACATTTAAACTCCAAAATGTTAATTTATCTAACATGTGAATATCTTACGCAGTCAAGCAAGAGGGACATAACTCAACAGAAAAACTAGAAAGAGGATATCAAAGTCACAGAACACAGATGCCAATAAACATTTCAAGAGGTATTTGCCCTCAATAATAGACAAATGCCTCTCTGCCCTATTAGATTGGCTAATCATACACAGAGAAATGTAGAGTAGCAAGAACACCCACCACAATAATGAAAAGTACAAATTCATGCAGACTTTAGGTAATTTGCTATTAAAAATTTTTAATGTTATATCCTTTAATCCAGCCCTTTCACATCCAGAAATATATTCTTGGGGGAAAAAAGCAACACTCAGACAAATGCTTGAAGATAAGTAAAAAAGTTTGTTAAAGCCCTGAAAATATTTAAAATGTCAGATAACGGATGAGCTAAAAATCACACTATGTCTAAATGAGCTCACTCTATTGCTCGGGCTGGAGTACAATGGCACAGTCATGGCTCACTACAGCCTCAAACTCCCGAGCTCAAGTGACCATCCTGCCTCAGTCTCCCAAGTAGCTGGGACTACCCGCGTGAGCCATCTTGCCCAGACCATAAGTGTGCAATTTTTTAAAGAAAGGTCTCCTTATGCAGAAGCAAAGAAAACCAGTATATACTAGATAGTTCATTCTTGCCTAAATCATCCCCTAACCACCAAAACAGAAAGACGAACCACACTGATTGAGCAAGAGTACAGGAGAAAGATCTAGAAGACATAGATCCACTCCACAGTACTTTCTTCTAAGTGGGAAGGGAATGGGGAAGAAGGAGGGGTGTTTGAGGAGGAACTTTTCCCTTACTTCAATACATCTTTGTGTGATTTGAGAAATATGTCACTTCAGTAATTCAAACTATTAAAATATCTTTTTAAAGTGCATTTATGTCCAGCTGCTATAAAACAAACCCCAAAACTACCTTTTGTCCTATATTAAGTGTTAAAGAGTAAAATATATTGAATTATGATAATCTAAAATTTAGTAGCAAGAATTTAGACAAAGACTTCATTAGGCTTTTGTTTTGTTTCTGGAAGAGAATGGGAAATTATCTGCAAGTGAACACTTCTAGGTTACACATGTCCAAACTCAGCAAAGCATATAAATTAAACAGGTACAGAAACTTTTTGTGTATTATACCTCAACAAAGCTATAAAAAATTTTTCTTAGGCTATCAACTTCACTCTCTAGTATTAAAACAGGTAGCAAAAGCCATGCTGTGGGAATTTGGATGACAGGACACAGATGTGTGAAGATAGGAAAGTGATGTTTACTATTATTGGGCATACAAATGACACAAGACTCATTCCAGCAAGGGATACCTTAGGCATAACCAGAGTTCCAGCTGTGTGTTCAGGAGTCTCATGCGCAGAAAAACAGTCCCGTCCATTTCCATCCACTGCACAGCCATAGCTGTAGCCAGAAAGAAGGTATGAGCTGTGCTGTCGCGCATACCAGTTGCCATAGAGGTAACCCTGGTTGGGCTGGAACTCCTGCTTCACTCTAATAGCAGATGGGAGACTACAGGAATGAGAATCGTCACCAACCAATGCAGAATCATCCACAAACCCCCAAACCCTTTCTTTTCTCCAGGAAGTTTGCAATAAATTGAACACCTGTGTTCAAAGCCATAGTTTGATACCGAATGTAGATGACGGGTTGATGGGTGCAGCAAACCACCATGGCACATGTATACCTATGTAACAAACCTGCATGTTCTGCATCTGTACCCCAGAACTTAAATAAATTTTTAAAAAGCCATAGTTCATAAGTTACCAACAATTATGTAGCACATAGAACAGTGACAGCTTTTCTTTTCAAAGTAGGAGGAAAACACTCACCTTTGCCAGTAGCAGTAATAGTTATTTTGTTGAGCTATGCCAAAACCTGCAAAACTCTCTCGTTGGGCCATTTATCCAGAAACTTCACAAAAAGAGAGCAGAATCCAGTTTTTATTCCCACGTCAAAAATTCCAGCTTGTGGGCTAAAACCTCTCAACCCTGACAAATAAGTCTCGCAACTACATCTGAGAGAATTACATTTAGTGGCAATTCCTGCTAGGCAATTAATTGCTTGACTTTCCTGACAAACGGGGCAAAGGTGTGGGTGGGGGAGGGGTGTACTGAGGCACCTGGGGGAATTTCTGGCTTCCACCTGCCAGCCCTCTCTACCAACTGTCAGGCCAGGGGGAGTCAGCAGAACCCCAAGGAGGGACAGAAGGGGTAGATGTGTTGGTCGACAATGAAGGATAGTCTCCACTCCATCCCTTACCACAACACAAAAAAGAGGAAACTTTAGTAACTAAAACCTTAAGACAAATACATTTCTCTCCTCAGCTACCTGCTGAGAGTAACTATTGGAACTAGCACCTACTGGCTTTTTCTTTTCTTAATCCCATGCAGGTGGAAAGCATCATCCAACTAGCTACAAAATTAAGAGGCAGAGAAGAATGTGCTCCCTCGCTCCCTTCCCTCCTCTCTTCCTTTTCTCTTACACCCTACATTAATGATAGTAGTACAGGATACAATTTTAAAGAAATATTTCTCTGGTTCAGTATTTTTTTAAAAAAGCATGACAAAGCTTCCCAAACTTCGATGTGCATTCAAATGACCTGGACTTGTTTAAAATGTAGGTTCTCTAACTTGACAGATTTGGAGTGGAGCCTCAGAGTCTGCCTTTTATTAGCCAGCTCCCGCCACTTTAAGTAGCAAGGTTACACAGTGTCAAAATTCCAGATAACTTTTAAGTCCATATGGGGCACTTAGGGTTTGGCCATTTCCCTGCAGCTTGCTAATAACTAAGTTCTTAATGTATTTTCTATTTACCTGTAATGTGAAAAATAGCAAACATGATGAATTCAAAACATTCAGATCATTCAATCATTCACCAGTTGTGGAGCCATTACTACACTCATCCCTCCATATCCATATGAGATTGTTTACAGGATCCCCCTCAGATACCCAAATCCTTGGATGCCCAAGTATAAAATGGTGTAGTGTTTGCAAAGAACCTACACACACCCTCCCTCCCATAAACCTTAAATTCTGTCTAGATTACTTATAATATCTAATGCAATGGCTATATATTACTTCATGTGGCTTCACCAGTAGTTTCCGGCATGTGGCAAATTCAGGTTTTACTTTTTGAAACTTTGAGTTTTGGGTTTTCTTTTCTTTCTTTTTTTTTTTTTTTTCTTTTTTTTTTTTTTTTGAGATGGAGTCTCCCTCTGTCACCCAGGCTGGAGTACAGTGGTGTGATCTTGGCTCACTGCAACCTCCACCTCCCAGGTTCAAGTGCTTCTGCTGCCTCACCCTCCCCAGTAGCTGGGATTACAGGCACCTGCCACCACGCCTGGCTAATTTCTGTATTTTTAGTAGAGACAGGGTTTCACCATGTTGCCCAGGCTGGAGGGCAGTGGCATGACCTCGCCTCACTGCAACCTCTGCCTTCCATGTACAAATGATTCTCCTGCCTCAGCCTCCCCAGTAGCTGGGATTATAGGCGCCCACCATCATGCCTGGCTAATTTTTAGTAGAGACGGGGTTTCACCATGTTGGCCAGGCTGGTCTCAAACTTCTGACCTCAGGAGATCTGCTTGCTTTGGCCAAAGTGCTGGGATTACAGGCGTGAGCCACCGTGTCCTGCCTCCCAAGTATTTTCAGACCACGATTGGTTGAATCCAGGGATGCAGAACCCACAGACTCTGAGGGCCGATGGTATCTGCAAGGCAAGGCAAGGCAACTAGCATTGATGATATACTGGAGTTTATACGGAGTGGATTTCCCCATGTCTTCAAGGGAGATTTTATTGATTAGCAGCTGTGGCAGACATTGTTAAGTGCCACCCAATATTGGTTTATTTTCTTCCTTAATAACAATTCTGATTTCACTTGGGCTAGCAATAGGCCCAAGCTAAAACATTACATTTCCTAGCTTCTCCCTTGCAGCAAGATGTGGCCAGGTGGTCAGTCCGGCTAAGAAGATGTAAACAGAACTAGTAGAAGGGGATAGAGGAAAGCTGTGTGGGAAAATGGTATTTGCTTAGCTGGAAAGGGGCCTTTCTGTCTTCTCCCCTCTCCCCAGGTCTGGTGCTATGATTACAAATACGATGGTTTGTGTCAGAATAACTGCAGCTGCCAGGCGCGGTGGATCACGCCTGTAATCCCAGCACTGTGGGAGGCCGAGGTGGGTGGACCACAAGGTCAGGAGATCAAGACCATCCTGGCTAACACGGTGAAACCCCGTCTCTATATAAACACAAAAAAATTAGCCGGGCGTGGTGGTGGGCTCCTATAGTCCCAGCTACTCAGGAGGCTGAAGTAGGAGAATGGCATGAACCCGGGAGGCGGAGCTTGCAGTGAGCCGAGATCGCGCCACTGCCTGGGGGACAAAGCGAGACTCTGTCTCGAAAAAAAAAAAAAAGAATAACTCTGCAGCTATCTTGGACTGAGGTGACATCAGGGAAGAAGTCATGCAGAAAAATACTGGGATCCAAGACAGAATGAGTCTGGGTCACTGACGACTAAGGACTCCTTCCACTAGCACTAGATTGGCCTACCGCTGGTTTATTTTACTTAATGTCTTGTTTAGACCACTATCGTTATGTCAGGTAAAATACAATTCCTAACTACTATAGCTTAGACAGCCAATAAAACATGTCAGTTAAAGATTCTTTTTCTGTAAATTTTTTTTTTTTACTTCTCTCATTTTAGGACTGACTTTATTTTACACAAAGAAAATCACAATTATAGCTATGACCAGGTAAGCATTGAGGCTGCAGTTGGAAAGGAACGTGGAAGTTGAACACTGAGGAGGTGGTAAGGAGGCTGAGGAAGACAGAGGTCGATGTCATCATGTTGAAACCACCTAGGAAGATGGCAGCAGCTATGGAACAGAAGGTTGTAAGCAAGATCCCAGGGTAAAGATGGACACTTAGGCCTTGGAGAGGACAGTAACAAGGACTCACAAGCGATGTTCTGCTCGCTAAAAGCCCCAAATGCAAACCTTCTGTTTCAACTAGATTAATCCCATGAAGTGGGTGAAGCAAATTTCTATCAGGGCACACTACTGGACAGGTTCAGGGCAAGTACAGCATTATCTCCACTTCCCTTCGTGCTGGGAAATACAAAGGAGACCAAAACCTCCAGGAATATATTCACATGCAACCTCCATAGTCCTTGAATTTAAGAGTTGCTACCTGCCACACTGAGAAAGGAGGGGAATTCAGCAGGAATATGAGATTCTCGTGGTATTTCTAAGAGGGCTTTTTCTCTACCGTATCCTGCTTTTACCCCAGGATATCCACCTTACCACCCCCGCCACCCAAGAAGAAATACTAGCTTTTACTTTAGCAAACCAAAGCTAGGCACTCAACAAATACTTGTTGAATGAACGAATGAATCAGAGCATAGCTCAAGTGCAAAAATCTTTTCAATCAATAATTTACAAACAAAGCTACAAAACAATATAATCCTCTCTTGCTTTAGTGTTGATTAATGAACTCTCAACATTGGTTGTTTCTTGGCAACTGCAGATTTCACAAGAATGAGATTAAATGGCTTTTTACATCCTGTGTTTAGAAAGGGAATAGAAGGGTTTATGGGAAGTTATGCTCAGGTCAAATCCAGTTAAACAGATATATAATTCTCCATTGTCTTTCTTCAGACAATGAAAATCCACGATCTAAGATCTGAAACTACTGCCACAGCCATGCATAAAATGAAATGCTGCTGCTTTCCTCTCTGTTAAAGAGAATGTTCAAGGCTGAGGACACATAAAAAAGAGCAGCATTACTGGCTCTGTTATTTAGCTGTGTGTTTTTGAAAAAGTCACTTCTCCAGACATATCTCAGCATCTATAACCTGAGACTAAACCTAAGAGTGAATCACTGCATTTTACCCTTCATGAGGTACCTTTAAACTAATCTTTTTGAAACAGTACATAAATTGTAGCAGGACAAGCCGCAGACAAAACCCTTCAGACACCAAGTTAAAGAAAGAAGGGCTTTATTCGCCCGGAGCTTCGGCAAGACTCATGTCTCCAACAACCGAGCTCCTGGAGTGAGCAATTCCTGTCTCTTTAAAGGCTCACAACTCTAAGGTCCGTGTGAGAGGGTCGTGGTAGATTGAGCAAGCAGGGGGTACTGCATGCACCGGTAATTAGAACGGAACAGAACAGGACAGGACAGGGATTTTCACAGTGCTTTTCTATACAGTATCTGTAATCTACAGATAACATAACCAATTAGGTTAGGGGTCGATCTTTACCAGGCCCAGGGTGTGGCGCCGGGCTGTCTTTGGATTTCATTTCTGCCTTTTAGTTTTTACTTCTTCTTTCTTTGGAGGCAGAAATTGGGCATAAGACAATAGGAGGGGTGGTCTCCTCCCTTAAAATCTTAATGCGCTCCTCCAAAAATGTATATCCACATATTTGCATATAATTTCATGGGATTCAAAACCCCTGAAACTGATCCAGAACCCCCCCAGATTAGTAACACCTGGACTAGATGTTGTCTAAGTTCTCTGAGCTCTATAATTGGTTCCACTGATTTCTAAGTTTTTGGGGGTTTTGTTTTTTTTTCCTTTTTAAAGTAAAACCACTTTGAGTTACGTTCATGGCGCTTACACCATGGTTTCCATTCTAGAACCAACTATATTCTAAAATTCCTGGTTGGAACAAAAGTTACTTAAGCAAGTAAAAGCGTGACAGCCTGGTAACAGATTCTAAATAATCACCTTTTTATGGTGATAAGCTAAAATTTATTTTTAAAAAGTATTAAACAAATATTTAAAGGAGCTGGGCACATTCCTCAGCCCTGGGCTTAAAACTCCTTGAGCCCAGTACAAACACCACCTGGAAAGTCTCCGATAAGGGGACAGCCGTTCAAGGTTACTGAAAGCGCGGGAGCCAAAAGAATGTCTTTGTTCCCCTGCAACTTTCAGGCTATAAAAAGCAAGCGCTCGCATTGTTCGGGGCCCTCTTGTATACTGTAGAATGGAAGGACCAGGTTCGAACTTGTAGTAAAGATCCTTGCCGCTTGGCTTTGACTCTGGACTCTGGTGGTCTTCTTCAAGGAACAAACAGTCTAGGCATAACAATATTAATACTTCTCAAACAGCTGTTGAGATGTCCCTAGGGTAAGGAGACAGGGCACCAGGGACATTCCAGAAGTAACAATATACAAAACATGATTTTGAAAGTTTTAGTGTTTTTTAAAAAATTTTTGGCTGAGAGCGTAATACTTTTGCATTAATATGAACAGATATGTTGTGGAGTAAAATGCATAAAGGCACATTATTAAAGATAAAATGTGAAACTTAAAATGTCCCGCAGGGCGCCATGGCTCACGCCTGTTATCCCAGCACTTTGGGAGGCTGAGGTGGGTGGATCACGAGGTCAGGAGATCGAGACCATCCTTGCTAACACGGTGAAACCCCATCTCTACTAAAAACACAAAAAATTAGCTCGATGTGGCGACAGGCACCTGTAGTCCCAGCTACTAGGGAGGCTGAGGCAGGAGAACGGCGTGAACCTGAGGCAGAGCTTGCAGTGAGCTGAGATGGCGCCACTGCACTCCAGCCTGGGCAACAGAGTGAGACTCTGTCTCAAAACAACAACAACGAGTCCTGCTTATTAATATCTAGTCTAACGTCCAGAGGACACTCACTTCACACTCCTCTCATCTTAGTGGTTCTCTGGTGGAAAGTTACACATTACAAAAAAAGTAATCTAAATCGTAAAATAATTTGACTTTTTGTAACACAATGAAGATAACTAGTACAGAGTGAAAGAAAGAATGCCTTTTTTTTTTTTTTTTGAGACAGAGTCTCACTCTGTTGCCCACGTTGGAGTGCAGTGGTGGGATCTCAGCTCACTGCAACCTCCACCTCTCTAGTTCAAGCGATTCTCCTGCCTCACCCTCCCGAGCAGCTGGGACTATAGGGACACACCACCACATCCAGCTAATTTTTGTATTTTTAGTAGAAAAGGGGTTTCACCATGTTGGTCAGGATGGTCTCGATCCTCGATCTCTTGACCTCGTGAAAGTGCTGGGATTACAGGCGTGAGCCACTGCGTCCGGCCTTTTTTTTTTTTTAAGACAGAGTCTTGACCTCAAGTGATCCGCCCGCCTCGGCCTCCCAAAGTGCTGGAATTACAGGCGTGAGCCACTGCACCCAGA